TTACATCCCCAATGCCAAGGGAGGAAAGATTTGTGGTGAACTGGCTCTGTTTCAGTGGGCTTGTGAGACACATGCAGGAAGGGGATGGGGGAGAGGAGGGGGCGGGAGGGAGGGGGCAGGGGAAGAACTGGAGACCTAAAGATGCACCCCAGTGGCCTCCTTTCAGCCAGGTCCCATCTCCTGCTATCCCTCAGTGATGTCACCACACGATTACTTCATCAGTGGGTCAGCCCATTGGTGAAGTTAAAGTCTTTTAGTGACTGGATCCATCACCAGTGGGAGACCAAACCAACCTTCCTTCAGCATATGAGCCTTGAGGGCGACACTTCATGTCCAACCCATAATACTCAAGCCGCTGCAGCAGATGAACTGTTTTACCTCTACACACGTTCCACATGTTAATGCTTTGCTGTAGCCCTTGCACTGGGGGCTGCCAGGACCTCTTGTCCATGGGGCCCTGTTTGGGAGATTTCATTGTGTCTTCTCTGCTCTGCCTTTCACACCGGGTGGAGGGATTCAGTGGTATTGGAAGTTCCCAAACTTTCCTGGCTTGTGACCTTAGTGAATTTGAACTGTGTGTTCCTCTCCTTCCTAGAAGACAGTATGTCACAGTAATTTTTTTATGGCATTCCCAGGCCAAAATTATACCAAAGAGTTCCATATCCAAACAACTTATTAGTAGTCATTAGGGAAAAAACAATTACCTTTTGTTTCACAGTCACCACGGTTTCCTATGAAGGGACATATGTACCTCTTGATGACTCTTCAGGTATCCCCTTAGACGAACCAGAGTTAGCTGAGGGAGTCTCACTTGGGGGATTGCTAATCAAATGGCTCTGTGGGGCGTTTTCTTGATTGCTAATTGATAGAGGGGGCCCCAGCCCACTACGGGCAGTACCATTCCTAGGCAAGGGGTCCTGGACTGTGTAAGGAAGATAGCTAGGGAAGCCAAGTGGAAGCTAGGGAGAGCATGCCAGGAAGCAGTCATTCCTCCATGGTTTCCTCCGGAGTTCCTGCCCTGATTTCCCTGAGTGGTGGATTGTAACTGCAAGATGAAAGAACCCATTTTCTCCTCAAGTTGCTTTTGGTTGTGGTATTTATAACAACAACAAAAACAACGGGAAAGCAAATGAGACTAGTGCCCCTTGACCTTTCCGGTATTATAGTCAGGACTGCTTCCACGGTTGTCAATGTTGAGTAATTTCTCTGCACTCTGTTCCTTTTATCAAAGCAACTGCCAGTGGCCTCACCTTGTGGGGATAGGGAATCATCCCAGGAATGGGGTAACACACAGTTTACAAGATGTCCTAGATAACTGCTGTCACCAGGAAGGGAGAGTATCCCATGGATTTGCCATATGCTCTGGGGCACCTTGTAACAGATATTGAGAATCATGGCGTTGAGCTCATCATGACCTTCTTCTCTATGACTCCATTCTCATCTCCGCATGGACTTCCTACTTTAGAGGTGAAGGAAACACAGATTTTCATTCATCTAAACCACATACCTCCTGTGTGTGTATTGTTTTGAGAGCTACTAAAAAGAAGCAAAAAAGTCCGTCTGTGATTTCTTTTTTTTTCATTTTTACTGTAACCAGTTTTCGTAAACATGATCATGCATGATCATGTATGATGTCAGATAGTCAGCTTTGTGTTTGTGTGTCTTCAGGCTTCTCATCCATGGATTCAGTGGGCCACACAACGGCTCTCTCTGGGTATCAGTCAGCTATTGTCAATTTATTTACCTTTTCTTTATTTAGAGATGGAGCCAAGTGGGCCAAGGGCTGCTGAAGCTGAATAGGAGCTTGAAGTCCTCAACACCCAGCTTCCAGCTCTAGAATGGTTAGGGTTACAGACCGTGACTCTGCCCTCCCTCCTCAGGCAGTGCTGAGGATGGAGCTGAAAGCCTCTGGTGGCTAGCCCTGCCTTCTACCATGGTGATGTCATCGTCATCTGTCGCTTAACTGTCTGCCATCTATCATGTATTATGTTCCCCCACACTGTGTGTGTGTGTGTATATATATATATATATATATATATGTATGTATATATATGTATAGTTTCCTTGTATGCATATACTATATATAGTTAACGGAAATATCTCTATATATTTAGTTTTCTTACATGCACAGAAGAAACTTTTATCTGTACTGGCCATGTGTAGGCTTCCACCTTGTGAAACTTTCTTAAGCAGTAGGATAGTGACCATTTACATGACATTTATGCCATATTGGCTACATTTAGATATCTAGAACCCACTTACCATGCGTGGGAGGATGTGTAAGTTCCATGAAACACACCATGCCCTTTACTTAAGGAACATAAGCATCTGCTGAGGCTCTTGGAACCCGTCCCCCATCAGGCTGAGGGTCAGTTTCTGAACTTGGGGGACCTGTTCTTTTCAGTAAGCATTCTGTAACGGGTATGGAAGCTTCTCCGAACTGTGTGTTTCTCTCCTTCCTCATAGAAGGAAGTTGCTGAAAGTAGTTGATACTCCCCCCTTCCCCCAAAAAAAACAAAAAGAAAAACTAGACTGAAAAAGGCTAGAGCATGCCTTTAACCCCAGCACTCCAGAGGCAGAGGCAGGCATAGTTCTGTGAGTTGGAGGCCAGCCTGGTCTACACAGTGAGTTCCAGGACAACCAGGCCTGTGCTATGTACCTTGAGTCAAAAATATAAAGAAATAAATGAAAGTGGTTAATACACACTCTCAATAAACCTCCAGAGATGATGGGTTTGACATTTATGAAGTGCTGTGCCTAATAGTTTATAAAGGAGAGAGACAGGTCATTTGCTTTCTTGGGACTGAATCCTGGCAGCCATGAGCTCATAAAGTTATAAGAAATTGTTGGCTTTACTTAATGGGCCATTTGTTGTGTTAAAATCAGTAATACTAAATATTTATTAGCTAAGTGGAAAGATTTATCTCTGTAAGTTGCTGTGACTCATCTTTCCGCTTGCTAATCCTGGTTATTTAGAATTTTCTGTTTAAAAATGAAGTCCTATTGTAAGTCATTCAGGTTTTCTGTCCGGAGGCTCCACTATGTACGTTAGAGGCCTTTACTGCCGACAAACATTTCAGAAGTAGGTTATCAGTTTCTACCAAGACTCCTGAGATTTTTCCGTGGGAAGTGTGTTTTAGTCTGTACATCCTCCTGGGGAGAATTGAAAATGTAGCAACTTTTGAGTCTCCAAACTGCAAGTCTGGTATGTCTCTGCATTTCTTTAGGTCTTATTTAATTTGTTTTGACACTCTTTTGGAGCATTCAATGAACAGTTCTTGGACAACCTTGGTTAAATATTTTCCCAAGGATTTTAATTCTTTTGATGTCACTATGATATTTTAAAGATTTTTGTTGCGATTATTTATTGCTAAATATACAAAATCTAATGAATCTGTTTTTTGGCGCTGAAACTCACTTACCCTGTTATTTTATTTATATATTCCTAAAACTTTTCTAGAGGGACCATCATGTCATTTGCAAATAAACGCAAATTTTATGTCTTCCTTTCCAAACTCCATGCCTTTTGTTTTCTTCCTCTCTTGCTTCACTGTAGGGGCGTCCCCCAGTCCCAGCTTTCTCCTCTGTGTAGCCATGGGACAGTTAGGAAGGGCCTGCCTCGGCCCCTAGACTTCTCTCCTCCTAACTTCTAGGCTGAGGGAACAATGCAGAGAGAGCGTGGGGTCATCATCCTCAGGGTGTGCTGGGCTTGCTGCTTCTGGTGGGTCGCTCCTTTGGGGTGGAAAGACCACCTGGGTTGCAGTTTGGGCTAGAGCATGTATGACCCAACCGCTGGCCCTCTTCCATAAAGCTGTGTGAGCTGTGTGAGCTGGGAAAGGCACAGGCTATGATCACAGGTCACCCTTCAGACCAGTGCAGGAGTGGCCACTAGGACTGACACTGTTGAGCTCCAGGACCCATAGAGTGTTTGCATAGGTTACACCTCTGCTTCCCTCCTAACCCCTTCTTCCATTGATGTCCAAAGTGCTCACATCTGCCCAGAGCCTCCTGAACAGCCATTCTCTTCTTAAGCTCTGTTCTGTGGCTTCATCAAGCGCTTCCTGGGCAGGGGTCATACATTCTCATTCTGTGAAGCAAACACTGAGCTCTGTGCTCTTAGGGTCACTTTTTTTTTCTCTGATAAGATACTGAGCATGGTGATGTGACTGAGGCCACACAGTAGCGGCTGTGGTGCCCAGAGCCATCAATGACCATTAGAGTGCAGAGCTAGTGTTAGGCATTCTTCCCGATGAGGGGTCTAGATGCAGCGACCTCCAGCCCTCTGCATTCCCAGGGAGAGCAGGTTTTGGCAGAGCCAACCTGGCTTCACCTATAGGGGGTGTCTGTCTGAGTTGACCATTTCATTTCACAAGGGGGTCGGAGGACTGTGGTGGAGACCAGAACAGCAGGGCCACCAGGGTGTCTGTAGACACAAGGAGGCAGCAGCAGTAGCAGCAGCTCCCTCCAGTTAAATGAGAGAGAAACAGGGCTGGGGGTGGTGGTGGAGAGCAACCACCCTGCTTTACATATGAAGGTGCTCTGACACAGCAGGTACAGAAGGTGGGTTGAGGTCTCTTCTTGGGTTGATGTTCCTTCTCCTTGATCTCTTCTCCTTGGGTTGACGTTTCTTCTCCTTGATGTCTTCTCCTTGGGTTGAGGTCTCTTCTCCTTGGGTTGAGGTCTCTTCTCCTTGGGTTGATGTTCCTTCTCCTTGATGTCTTCTCCTTGGGTTGATGTCTCTTCTCCTTGGGTTGACGTTTTGTCCATCTTTGAGCAGTTGTGGGTCCTCCTGTGTTTAGCTGCTTCTGTTCAGTTTCTACGTGGATGTCGACCAAGCGACAGTAATGGAAGTCAGCAGCTGGCTTGTCATTGTCTATCTCTCCTCTCTCCGCTCCTTCTGTCTCATCTACAGAATGGGAGAGCCCTGCACCCATTCCTAGAGCCACAGGCTCTTTGTCTTGATGCTTCCCATCAGGCTGCATATTCTAGTCATGAACCATCAGGACCAAACCACACACACACACACACACAATTCATCGTGGCGGCAACGGTCCTATTTTATTGGTGAGAAAATGGAGGCTACCCTGTAGACTTAGGATGGGTCTCAGGTCTTCATGTGCCTAAGCTAGATCCTTCTTGTAGCTTTTCTGGTGGACAGACCTTGCAGCCACTTTCCCTGCTCTGCGTGAGAAAGGCACCTGCTTCTTGTTTGAGCCTGAAAAACCCATATTTGTGTTCATATTTATGTGGGCAGATTGTCTTACACCTAATATGGCACATCAGAAACGAGAAGCAAGTTAATTATTCTTCAAGGCAGGAGTCCCACAGCTGTGCTTCTGGTGGTTTTGGAATACCACGTGCCCTCTGGTTGCTGGCCAGCTGGAGTTAAATCTCTACTTGGTCCTTGCCCAGGAAGCTGGTCCCAGGAAGCCCAGATGCACTTGTTTACAGCTGTCTTCAGTGATGTTTGCCAGACTCTGTTCAGAAGGAATGTGAATGTTCTACTCCCATAGTTCCATCTTTTATTTGGGTGTTCAGGGGACACGCCAGCTAATCACAACTACATAGAGACCAGGGAGAGGAACTGTGGTAGTTTAAATAATGATTCCCCCCCCCCCACACACACACACCACCACCACCACCATAGGCTCTGGTACCTCAGCACTCGGTTCCCCATTGGTGGCACTGCTCAGGAAGGTCTTGGTGGTTCAGCCTTGCTGGAGGAAGTGTGTCACTGGGGATGGGCTTTGAGATTAAAAGCCTCTCACCACTTCCAGTTTTTTCTCTCTCTCTGGTTTATGCTCGTGGTTGAGGATGTGAGCTCTGGGCTTCCTGGTCCTGCCACCCAGTCTGTGATGGGCTCTCATCTTCCTGGAATGTAACTCCTAATAAACACTTCCTTTCATAAGGTGCCTTCATCATGGTAACTGATGAGAAGCAGATCCGTGTGATGGCGGCCATTGTGAAGTGGAAAACCTGTGTATTTGATGAAACTATGGAGTTGCGGGGGAGGGGGTGGCGCTTCCCAGATGTTCCTGTTGTTTATGTTCATTATTAAGACCATTTGGTATTCATGGGGAAATCCTTGCCTCAGTTTCCCCAAATATAGTATGGTAACAATACTTATTTTCAAATTCCCTAAGAAAATAGAAAGTTAAAAGTCTTTGAAAGCAGACGTATTAAGATGCTTCTGTCATGAATTTGTCAAGTTAGTTTATCTCCCTAGAAGATGTAGTCCTTTTCCTGAACCTGAGAACATCACACCGTGGGAAGAGAGATCAGATTTCTTGTCTGTGTTCAGCAGCTTAGGGAGGGGAACCAGGCTGAGGGGGAACAAGAGAGCACTGGAGGCCTCGTTGTTTTTGGAGGCACCCTTCCAGCATGGGAAGCTGGTTCCTGCATGTCCTTTTGCCCAGCTGGAGTACTGCAGACCTTAGTGAAACAAGAATGATCCACAGATGCCCTGGAACTTCTGGGGGAGCCTGGTGACATGCAGCTGTGATGGGTCACAAGAGGACTGGAAAGGTCCCAGTTCTTAGCCCAGAGCCTAGGGAATGATGGTTTCCCTTCCACAGAGGGGTGTGTGTGTGTGTATGTGTGTGTTTGTGTGTGATGTTAATATACAGATGGGTATATGTGCACATATGCTCATAATGCTCATGTGTATGATTATACAAATGTGTATGTACAAATGTGCATGTGTTTATGATCATGCAAATGTGTATATGTGTGCATATGCTCATATATGTTCTGTATGTGTGCGTGTCAGCATGTGTGGAAGTGTGTGTGTGTGTGTGTGTGTGTGTGAGAGAGAGAGAGAGAGAGAGAGAGAGAGAGAGAGAGAGAGAGAGAGAGAGAGGCTGAGTGTGCGTGTATGTATGTGTGTGTTGATACTTCAGTGCATTGTGGCACCCTCTTACCCAGATCTTGCTCCAGGCCCCAGCACAGGCCCGGCATCACTCAACTGTCTCCTCTTTGATTTGGTTCTCAGGGCAGGAAGATCCCAACAGTCTGCGCCATAAATACAACTTTATTGCCGACGTGGTGGAGAAGATCGCTCCTGCTGTGGTTCACATTGAACTATATCGCAAGTAAGGAGCGCCTTCCTTTTCCCATAATGTCTGAAGCTCTCACTAATAAATGACAGAGCTATTTTTGAAGCACATTAAAGTGTCAGGAATGTCACTGGGTAGATTCCTATATTATGATAGAGTTCCCTGCCTTAGGAATTTTTTCCTATTTAAATCTATAATCTTGGCCCCTTTTTAAATAACTTCCTAGCTCTGAAGAGATTCCCAGGGAATATTTTCTAAGTGGAATTTTTGATTCATTCCGAAAAGTAGCTTTGTGTTATTTTTAAAACATGAAACACTTGCTAGATGTGCGTGGGCTGCTCTTGCAGAGTCTTTTCCTTGTGTAAGTGTTTTGAGGTGTTCAAGCTCAACTAATGTCTGTTTCAGGCTTCCCTTTTCGAAGAGGGAGGTGCCCGTGGCTAGCGGGTCTGGATTCATCGTGTCCGAGGATGGACTGATTGTGACAAACGCTCACGTGGTGACCAACAAAAACCGGGTCAAGGTTGAGCTGAAGAACGGAGCTACCTATGAAGCCAAAATCAAGGATGTGGATGAAAAGGCGGACATCGCTCTTATCAAAATTGACCATCAGGTGAGACGCTCCTGAGGCCCGAGTGTCTCCCCAGCCTGCACAGCCCAGCTCTCAGATGCCAGGCCTGGAGAGAGTGAGGACACCAGGGTTCTCTGGTGTCCTGGAGCATGCAGCAATGATGCAGAAGCTGCAAGGCCAGGCAGCTCTCACCAGAGGGGCCTGGGCGGGAGAGGAGGGACTCGGGAAGCCCCTGGAAGAAGCTGGCTCTCAGGTCAGAGGTTTTAAGTTTAATTAATTCGTTAATTGGTAGCATTTTATCTTTATAAAACAACAGACTCTAAAGAAGTTAATGGGTAACTGGGGAGAATAGAAACTCCTATCCCTGATGGTGAGGCATCTGTTACAAAGATATTTGTCTCCATATACATAACTGGAGGTGTCCTGGATTCTCGGTATATATGCAATGGATTTAAAAAGATTTTTAAGAATTATTTTTAATCATGTGTTGCGTTTGTATGTGAGTATGTACTTAGAGGTGTTGGATACCCTGGAGCTGGAGTTACAGGGTTATAAGCCACCTGACTCTGAATCTCTGTGACTCGGGGTCTCTGCAAAAGCAGTGTGCTCTTTCAGCCCGAGTCATCTCTCTAGCTCCTTGTTAAGCTTTCTATACTCGAGGTTTTGGGAACCTTAAGACAAAATTAGCATCTCTCCTTGAGCCCCTTAGAATCTTTCGTGTGCTGATGCACACATAGCCCACTGCAAAAGGGCTAGAATGCAGTATCTGCCCAAATTATGATTCTCTATGAGCACGTGAGTTTGAGGCAGGACCAGGGTATAGAACTAAGACACAGTGAAAGTGAGCTCAATCTGAGAAATGCTTACATGAAATTGCTTTGAGGGTTGGGGGCGTTTGCAGCTCAGATTCTGCTTCTAGTCTTACCTGCATTAATTAATTTTTTAATCAATTAATTTGTGTGTGTGTGTGTGTGTGTGTGTGTGTGTGAGAGAGAGAGAGAGAGAGAGAGAGAGAGAGAGAGAGAGAGAGAGAGAGAGAGAGAG